CAACACATGTGCACCATTTTACACCACACTGCCAGATGATATTAAACGATAAAAATCGTTTTACCAGTTTATGTGCCAAGTACAATCTTTTCTGCTGCATAACTGTTTCTATTCAATTAAAGACTATACTGCATCGACAAGGAAAGTAATATTATGTCCACAATTATATTGAAAATTCCCTGTATTAATTAATCTCCTTATAATACGAAATATATCGAAGATTTCTATCTCGGCCTACTCAGTATCTTGTTACTATTTTAACTTATACATTTCAGGACTTTAATTACTTCCTTATACTATTTATCTCAGGGCTCCTATAATTAATTAATTAAAGACGTGGCCCTGAATATTCATCGATCTTACGAGGTTACAGTGGATAACGTTTTTTATACTCGGATTTTCTGCATTAAATCGCGTGTACACCCAACAATATTACATAAAAAAATTTAAAAAAATGGTGAGAAAATTATGAGGCATAACAGAGAAGTTGTTACGCAATTTATTCCTTTGACAATAAACAAATTCTATGAAACATACAATCACCCTTGTTATAATTATATTTTGACAAAATCACATTGACAATCATTGCTTTGAAACGTGCGCAGATCTGCGCAATTGTGTCACTGAATTATTTGATTCGCCATTCTCATTGAAATTTTGATTGTATTTGATATCAAGAATAAAAATCTTCGGTCTTGAACATTTTTAAATTGTATTTTTATACATTTACTTGCCTTTTAATTACTCTGCGACGATTCAACATGTCCCACCTCTAGCAACAATTTTCTCCTTCTCAACATCTTAAGTCCAAAATGCACTCGTTCCATACGCTCAAAAATGTCGAATTACAACTTTAAAACTCCATTTCAAAACTTAACCCACCCGAAAATATAATATGTCCTCATCTCAATAAGTGCTACTCGGTTGCTGACCTTAGTTTCAATCTGAAATGGTGGGCGGGCCTTGTTCATGTAGAGCTAGCCCGCCACCCTTTTCAAATATCGCATTTTCAGACACGCTTAAACGACTTTTCTCAAAAACTGCTCCACATTTTTCAACGAAAATTTCTATATAAAGGCAAAGTTTATTCTTTTAAAACATTTTTAAAGTCATATCACAGTTTCATTATTAGAGAACGGAAAAGTAAGTTAGGCCGGAACAACGAAAACTAACTAGTACGAGAAAGTATGTATCATTCTGTGTCACCACTAGCTTTTGTTTACATTTTTCACCCGGTTAGATCAAACGACGTTTAGAAAATAGCACCCGAAAATTTTTGTTGAACACTCTAAATTACGGAAAATTGCAGAAGTTAAAAATCATGCGATGACATATGGGTTGATGTTGCACTGCTAGTTTCGGTGTGAGGGGCTTTCAAAATGCACGTTACAGTGAAAATCTCGACATGAGTTTCTTCTTCATCATTACATAACTTATTGTCCCGTATTTATTATCCCACTCGGTATTCGCGCGCGGACGAAGGCGGTGATCGCAAACCGCGCGCTGTGGACGCGGGTTTCCCGCGAGTGCGCCGCTTCCTGCGTGGGCTGCGGTGCGCTGCGGTGCGCCGCAGGTGGGGAAGCGGCCGCGACCGCGTCCTCCGCTCTGCGCGCTGCGCGCTGCGCTCGGCGGCCGAGGGCGGAAGCGGAAGCGGACGGATGCGGCGCAGCCACCGCAGCGCCGCGCTCTCCGAAGCACCTTTGAGGCGGCTCGCACCGTGAATAACACAGAAGTGGAATTTCATATTTTAATTACTATTCTCACATCAATTCCTTTTTAATGATGCTAATAATAATACAATTACTACTACTATTACTACTTCTACCACTACTACTACTACTACTACTACTACTACTACTACTACTACTACTACTACTACTACTACTACTACTACTACTACTAATAATAATAATAATAATAATCGCAGGTTCAAATCCCATCCAGGGCATGGATGTTTGAGTGTGTTTGTATGTTTGTGATTGTTCATTCATCCTTCATCATCATATACCTCATGCCGTCAGGGCCAACAATTTTGGGGTGTAAAATGAATTCAGTAGAAATGCTGATTCCCCTCAAAAAGGTCACGTGCACTTTCCCTGGGGAAATATGACTGGGCATAGGTGGGAACAGTGGCACGTTCTCGTGGTCCTAAAATGACTGATTCGCATCAAATAATGATGATAATAATATTAATAATAATTAGTTACATATTATATACATACAATTGATTGTTTACAAGCAGGAAGATATGGCCAACAAGGAATAAATATTGCAGTATTATATTTTTTTCGTAACCGTTACTAACGCGAGAATGTACGTACTGCTCTTGCATTAGTAGTCACTTCCCAGTATACATACGTATATATGCACGTATATATCATGTATATACATACGTATATACACAAAATTGCGTGCAATATTTGCAATTTTTAAAAAATAACAAAAAACGATTTTTTTCCAAAACGACTCAATTTTTTTTGTTTAAATTTTTGTTAGGGTTACAGCTAAATGCATTCTATACAATGTCATTAACGGCTATTCTTTTGTTTTTTCAAGAATTACAAAAATTTAATTTTATTGACTTGTGTCTCACGTCCGTAATATTTACATTAGCGGGAATTTCTTTACATTAATGTATTTATGAGTATATGTGCGTCAGATAATGTCAAGTAAAGTTTCACTAAAACTCAACAGTTTCCCATGAAAATGAGCTCAAAATTCCGCATTTTCAGAAACGCTCAAACGCCATTTTCTCAAAAACGGCTCCAAATGTTTTTTTCAAACTTTTCCAACAGATAGTGCTAATTGTAATGTTTAAGATAACATAGTATTAATTTTTCTATATTCATTTGTTTTTGATGTATTCACTTGCAAAAATTATACAAATGGTAATGACAATACTCTCACGACTTTAATATACACATTTCCAGCGATTTGTAAATACGAATGCATTTGTGACTGGTAGTGATTGATATGACGTCATATGAAGTTTTTCGAACAGTCTATAGTTTTCTGTGACCAAGGGTTCAAATTACCGAGTTTACAGTAGGGCTTAAATTCCATTTTCCTAAAAACGGCTCCAAATGTTTAAGAAAATAAAAAATGCAAATTAATCTCGCTAGTGGACGAGGAAGGGGGCACGGGAGTGCGAATAGCAGGGAAAGATTAAAGCAGAATCCTTTTACTTTCCCGGATATTTATTTACCATATTCATCTATACAGATAGGAAAAGGAATATGTTCTGTTTATAGTGTATTTTCTCCCTAGTCTGATCCAGCGTGGTCTGCTCCATCCTTGTCTGCTGTGCCCTGCCTTAACGCCCTGCCCAGACCCACTGCTCCTTGCTACAGTCCTCGCCCTGTGTTGCCTTGCTTGACCCCGATACTACCCGCTTTACCGCTAGGTTGTGCGTGTTGTCGACATTTCAAAACGTATTTTTATTAGGTATTATTATGTTTATATAACATTCGTACACAAATTATAATGTACACGTGCCGAAATCGGAGACTCCCAGATTTGAAACCACTTCTTTATTGCTGAGTCTGATCGAGTAATTCATCTGGGAAAGGGAGGTTTACATAACACGTTTTAGAAATAATATATGTGATCAAATGGAACTAAATGTCGAACAGTCAATTAAATCTGCAAATAGATTTCGAGTCAGACAGTGAGAATTTATTGATTCCCCGCGCTTCAACTACCTGGGTGCTTTTACCTGAAAGTAAGCGTGGGCAAATCAGCAGGGGATTTCCTCTATCAGGTATCTCCCTCGCAGCGGGGCACCGCCCAACCGGACTCCGGCGACAAGACTCCGACTGGTATGGAACGATAGTTTGTTTAGTATTCCGCATGTTATGTGTAATCTCCTGGTATTGGTCAGAAAAGCCACGGAAAACTAACTATCAGAGTAGCCTTCACTTAGAATTTTTCTCTAGGCAGCGACTGAACACGACCTAGCTATGAGGCTAGTGCCACCGACGGATGTCAAACCCCATGACCTCCCGGTCTGTCGCTGCAGAAACAACGACGATAAGCTCGCTCCGGAATCGGCCTACGCATTTCGTGTTTCCGAAGGAGTAAACATTTTTGTTAAGTTTGCATTTATAAGAAGCACAAACGGATGTTCTCACACAAGTCCAGAGAAAAGAGCTAACGCAGGTGAACATGGCACAATCTTCGGAATTTTGTAAGTTACGCGTCAGAGAGATAAGAAGAAGCTTGTGATAGGTTATTTCATGTTTTCCCCCTACAAAAGTATAAGCGGTGGTTTTCAACGTTCGTAATGCTTTAAAAATGGAAAGATGGAAAATATTTGCTGAAAACACACAGAAGTGGATAAATTACAATCGATGAATGTGGTTCTATGCAGAGCAGATTATAAATCCTCATATTAAGGAGAGAAACGGAAGGGAATGAAGTTGGGCGGTTTGGGAGAGGTAGGTAAACGGCTTTGGAAAAAAATAACTATGAGATGAGAAAAAATGAATGCCTGAGGGCCGCCCTCTGCGCCCATAGGTATGTTCCTATAACGGAATTACATCGCCACTGCCGATTCATCGCATCAAAAATTTTTGAATCTAATTTTTTCGAAAAAGGTGCTGACTGAAAACTCTCTCATTTCCGAGATTACTTCATACCAACGCAACCAAGTGGTGAAGTATAAGCGATCTAAGCACTTTTGGAGGTAATCTGAAACAGTGAAATGAGATTTGAAACAAACTTTGTATTTTAGTACAGTCAATAGTGCACCAATGGGCTAAAGTCATTTTAGACCCTCTGTATTTCTTTATGTGGCAGGATTGACCATAGATGCCCATAAGGGTAGGAACGGTCGCACCGCAATAGGGTAAACGAGCATTGCACTTTCCGTGCGTTCAAAAAACTGCACCAATGAGCTCGATCGGCGAGGAGCTCGGTTTGCCGGGTGGGGGAAGGGGAGGGAGTGGTGTGGAGGGGAGGGGGGTGTGGGCTTAAAAGGGCGCGCGCGGCCGCAGCAAGCTGTCTTCTGCGATGGCCTTCCCCGCGCGCCGCTGCTCTGCTGTCGTGGCGCTGGTGGCGCTGCTGGTGGCCCTGGCGGCCCCTGCGGTCACCGCGCGCAAACTTCCGGTCAAAGGTATTATTTCCTCTGGTAGACAGCAGCTTCGCGCTTCATACTCTTTCGCTCATTCCACTGTAGATAAGAAATAGTTGGGAGTTTTTGCACAGCGAACCGTTACAGCAATCGACACAAATGCTCTGCGCAAGCGTAGTTCAAATTTTGCATTACGGAAGTTTTTGTACCTCCAAGTGTTAAAGAAATCGACAGTAGTATCGATCTTCTACGCACGCGCAGATCACATATCGCATCTGCTGAAGCGCAGAATATCGAGATTGCGGTCGGTTGCTATGTCTTGCACAACCTTCCTATTTTTGTGCATATACGCATACATAGAAGATCGATATTGCTGTCGATTGCTGTACATAATGTCAGGCAAAAACAACCTAGTAATTTACACCATGGAGGTAATACACTGGTGAATTTCTACTAAGAATGAGACATCAATGTCGATGTTTGCCGAAGCGGAGGGCCTGTTCCTCCGGTGCCTGATAATGTTCCGAATAGTAATCCGACAGATATTTTATCCGTCAGATAAAAGTGCCTGATATTTATTTTGCGTTTCACCAAGGTCTTTCTTGTTAAAATATCTGACATATCTTTCTGATAAATAATCTGGCTGATTGCTGTTTCACTAACGGCAACGCCGCATTTTCGGGTCAAACACCCTCTGTGCGCGCGAATTCGGATGTGTTCTGGTAATGTGTCAGGGGTTTTTCGTTTCATTCGTTGTTATTTTGTGTTGCAGTTAACTTCGGCGTGAGCTGTGTGCGAGTTCGGTGTAAATGTTTGTTTTATTGCGTCGTACTTTGTGTGTGTAGGAGTTTCAAAATGGAAAGGGGAAAGAAGCCAGAAAGATGAGTTAATTTTACACGTGAGGCAACAAACTTGTAACCCTCGTCGCGGAGAGGAAAATATTATTAAATATAAGTAAATGGTGCTACCATGTGGTAGGGTAGAGATTGACATGGATAGCTATTGAAAAGGTTTCCATTAGCTGGGTGGGGATGCTTTTGCGAAAGGAAACATCTTTAACAAAAATATGAAGCTCTGAAGAGAGAAAAAGAAAATCTTATTATAACTGTTCAAAGTTTTTATTTTTTGTTTTTTTAAACATAATTATAATGGAAATGATTCTTACTAACACTGACCTATTATGAAATCATAACTGGAGTAAGGCAAGGAAATCCATTACAATTTTTGACATGATTACGGAGGATATCATTTAAAATGGATTCTTTAATTTCTATTGCCTATTTCTCATAAACTATTCAATATTGAGATTTTTCTTCGATGACCAGCCTATTATATATTATCAAAATAAATTTCTAAATACTATTCCCTCCCTGAACAGAATTTTAGTGTATAATTTGCAATGAAATTAAGAACATAAAAGTTAGATTAAATTGACTTAAAAATCTCAACAGAATAAAGTCCAACACATTGATTAAAATTCTACTGAGAAGAGTGTGAAATGCACCATGAAACGAGAGTGATCTATTTTAAATACTAATAACAGCAAAACAAATTGTACAAAAACTCCATAGTTTTGGAAAGTTTAAACAGATATAAATGTGATAAAAATATAATTGTCACTTGAATAATAATAATAATAATAATAATAATAATAATAATAATAATAACTATTCAAGTATTTTTTTGCTTTTGTAACAATCATAAAAACGTGTTTCTTCAAAAATATATTTTAATGACATTTTATTTTAGAGAGAATATTGTCATAAATGTTTGTGAAAAGATTTCACTGTAATATGGTATTAATTCATTCTAACATGCTATTAATACCATGTTAGAATCGAATCTCACAAAAATGTATGACAATGTTCTCCCTAAAAAAAATAATTTTGGATAATGGACCCAGAAAATATTATAGAATAATCTCCTTAAAGTGAGTAGGTATAATTATGTTCTCACCTAGGTATTTTTTTGTGATTAGATTTTTTGATAACATTTTTTATATAGTTATAATTTTTTGTAAAAATATCTGCTTAATTTATCATGCTTTGGCATGTTTTCTCCCGTCTACTTTTATAGTTTATTCTTACTACTTATATATTTTTTCTCTTATACTTGTTTTTTTAATGAATTTCATTCCTTATTTCTACATTACTTTTATTTTATTCACTATTTTCAACATTATTGACATTTTTTTTAAAATTTTCAGACGGATCTGGTCCATTAGGCCTAGCTAACATGTTGATGAAAATAATTGACACACCGAATCCGGGGTGTTGGACAATAAATATTGCTTTTGAAGAAAAAAATCATTGATTCTTAAAAAAGAAAAGGATAGTTGTGTTTAATTAATTTATTAAGAAAGATAGTTCACAAGACCGTCACTATGTAGAGTAGAACACTATAAAATCTGGTAATTGTACGGGAACATATGTGCGACATATTGCTGCGGGAACTCTAGAAAATCTAGCAATTTTATAAAAATCTTCTTGGGTGATTTGGAAACTTCACGAAATCCTTGGAAACTTCACGAAATCACTACACTTGAAGCAGTTGATTGCTCACCTCAATAAAGACTAATTACGATACAAAATGATCCCTTTGCAAAATAACCCAGAGTGACAAGTCGGTTCATTGGTGAAACCTCAGGATTGCTAACAAAATACAAAGTATACATTTTATTATTTTGACATAAAATTAATTTAACAGGACCATTACTTCAGCAGGACATTACAGAAATATAAGTCGGGATTCACAAATCTTTTATTTTTTGTTCTATCAAAGACAGATTTGCTAACCGTAGGCTTCCTTAACCTAAAACGGGATATGCAATCTTGTTCGTCAAGAATCTTAAAATATTCTGGCCAACATGTCGTCTTGTCGGACTCTAAACCATCAAAGAATTCGTCGCTCTTTTATCTCTATTACGTTGTCCATCACGGAAATACCACACATATTCCTTGAAAATCACAGTAAGTCCACACACAAATTCTGTTATTTGGGAGTTATCTACCAGATAAATATTTAACAGCCTCTCGAACCTCCAGATAATTTACCGGACACTTTAACCACTGGATAGATTTATCTGGCACTCGTAAATTTTCAACATATCAGTAAGATAACTTCTGAATAGTCTAACAAGCACTTTATCTGGCACCGGTAAAACAGGCCCTAAAACTTTGAAAAGACATATCAGATATAAAGGCAATGGTGAAATAGATGCCTGATGTAGATGAATCATATAACTAAAGCCACACTGCTTTGCTAATATCATGTTGTAAACTTTAAAAAATCCATATTTCAGCAGTTTGTAACGTTTGAAAGGTTTTAATAGAAATAAGTTTTCATTTTATGGTTGTTATTTTGTAACGCCTCTAGTATACGCCTCCTTTTAATAGAAATAAGTTTTCATTTTATGGTTGTTATTTTGTAACGCCTCTAGTCAACTGCAGGTTCTATCTGCATGACAGTAAGTCAAAAGTCTATTTTCGGACTAAGAAAGTTCTATTTGTAAAATAACATTAAAATTACTATCTTTCTAATGCATATTTTTCTCAAATTTGCTGTCAAGAAAGATCCTCCTTGGAAGAGAAAATTGCTGGAAAATCACAAAGTTACATTGACATTTTGTCATTTAAATTAAAACATCAATTTCAAATGCCTCTGTAAAATTTTCTTCAGTGCAGTTAGGACCCTTTTATTTTTAGGTCGCGAAATATTTAAACTTTGGATGAGATTTTACTGTTGAAAACACTTGAAAATATATTGTAAATGGTATCCGTAGTTAAACATTTTCTCAAAATTAGCTCGAAGTTTTGGATTAAACTTTGTTCTCGGTTAGTATAAACGGCACTTAAAAGAATGTTGCTAGTCTAATTTTCATTTAAACTATGCTACCGCCAGAGAGTATACGGTACCGCGGTACAGATGAACTTGTGAAATGCTGCGCAATACAATGGCGAATTTTCAGCAACAAAAAAATATTACAAGGCTCTGGCAACGAAAAAATGGATAAATCCATATGCTAAATTTAGAAAAAGATCTTCTAACACGTGGTGTAGACAATCCATGTTTAGTGGGTCTCTAATGCCTACAAATCGATTGAGGGCAAAACGTCTGTCCGTGTGTCTTTCTGCGAACAACGCTAGAGGCTAAAATGTTTAGTCGATTTTCTCCAAAATTTACGTTCCCCGTTCGATCGGGCTGATGTCGCGACCCCTTGTGTTTGCAAATGATATTTTAATTTTGGGGGGTACTTTACATGAAGCCCCTGGAACATTTTCAAAATTTCCAAAAAATGGTGTTCATTAAAAAGAGATTTTCAAATAAGGTTATCTTGATTTTTCAAAATTGAGTATATTTGTTGCGTGAATTGAAAAAAAAATTGAAATAGTAAATTCAAATTGCCAGCGGTTCGTTTGAGGCAGTGATAGTACGTAAAAGTAATTTGAGAGGCAGAGGCAATTGGATATTCTGAAAATCCCTACTAATTGTTTGACTTAATATTAATTACCTTAATATTACAAATCGTAGAAAATTTATATCTACATTAGTTGCAATGTAAATGGTATTACGTTAGCCTTGCAAGTATTGCGTGGAAGAACATGAGTTCTCTCAATCATTTGCTCGCAGAGCAAAGTAAAATCCAGGTGATTAATTTGGAGTGTTTATTAATTTGAGCTTTTCATTCTGGGCATAGAGATCATTCTAATTCCTAAGATTTATAAGATTTATCTTTGAAGGATACACGCGCGGTGTTAACAATAGGAACGTCGCGAAACGACGAAGTTCACAGAATAATATTTTAATTGTGAGGCGGTGTTTCTCTATTCGTAGTGTTTCTACTGAAAGGTGTTATCGACAACCACGACATAGTGAATTTAACTTTTGTACTTTTGGTGTTATTATAAGGAAAGATGAAAAGATCGTGAAGCTCTCTTTCGAATATTGAAACAAAAATTTCTTGTGTGAGTGATGTGAAACGCAACACTGTAATGTCCGTGAAATTGGTATTACAGTGTGGCACTCATTCTCTTGTGAATAATGTTTGGGTGGACAATGCAGAAATAATTCGTGTTTCTGGTAAAATGACGTTTCTGCATCATACAATTCGTAAAGAATGCAATTATGTACGCTCTCATTCATAAAATTAGAACATGGAGAGAAAATCTGGAAGTGTGATTTTCAAATGACCAGATCGTTGTAATACGTGTCAGTGAAAATTATAATTGCATTAAAAATGAAGAGGTTGAAATGTTTTGAAAATAATACATTTGTTCACTTTGAGTCCCGTGTAACAAACTTGACGGGTCACTCTTAAATACTATCCAATACTAGCAAAAACGGAATTGATAATTCTTCTTATAATTTATCCATGGTCGAATGTAAATTACGTGATCTCGAAATACAAAATTCTATTGGGGTACCCCTTCAAAAAAGATCATTTACTCTTTTCTTGCTGGCGGTGTCAACAATGCTAATTGGTCAAATGTGTATCTCATTCGAATTAGCGGCCATTGTTTCTTGTAACCCATTGTTGTAATATCGCACTGATAACAAAGGTGATAATGACTGCTACCTTTTCTTTTACGTTAATATTAACTAATAAGTTTATTTGCGGCTGAAATGCGCATCGTGCATCATTGGTATTGTAACGTTCCTCCGTGGTGAATTGAAACCAACACAATATTTAAACAATTACGTTTATTCGGGAACAATTATACACTAAAATCTACTTGGTCTATTTACAGATATATTACACTTAATTATTTTTCTTCACACACGACTCCGTTCTCTTGATGATTTATTTACACAGTTCACTTCTTACACGCTATTTATTTATACTGTTCTCTTCTTCTACAGTATCAGCCAGTTCGATGCTCTGTCCACGGTCCACTGCACTTGACCCAATTCCCTGCACAGACCACAATTCCTTGCGCACACCAGGGTCCACTGCACTGCTGTTTACCGCGATGCCCACTTCACAGCTCAGCCTCCACTGCAGACTTCAAACTGCTGACTGCTGTTTCCCCACTGCATCACTGCTTACCGCGATGCACCGTCACAGCTCAGCTTCCACTGCAGACTTCAGACTGCTGACTGCTGTTCAACCGCTGCACCACTCTTCACCGCAATGCACATTTCACAGCATAGCTTCCACTTCGGACACACTGACGGACTGACTGCTTCTCTGCTACTCACTGACGCCTTACTACCCACTGAATTCTACTCACGTCTTCTACTAACTGACTCGCGGCCGCCGGCAGCGGCGCATTTATACCTGCCCGGCGCTTGTCTCCAGGCACCCGGCACATTCTCGGCGTTTCCCGCGGCTCGCGGATAGTCCGGAACCGTCTAGTTCGGGGGGAGGGGGGGAAGGCAGATGACGCAATCCGTGCGCAACGAATTCCGGCATGTGATGCAATATTCGTTACAGTATGTTCATATAGAACGTGAAAACACAATTCAATGGTAGAAAGCTGTTTTCGTTTAAGCATTTGAATTTTTTTAAATAGATGTATTTTCACGTTTTGTTTGTTGAAGAATTTTTCAAATGGTTGTTGAAATGTAAGACAGAAATTGTCATATTATAATATTACAAAGCAATTAACAATGTCGCGAGAAAGTACTTGCGGTTATAGCTCCACTAGTTTGGTTCGTAATGTTATTTGGGTTTGTTTTGATTGGTGTTTTTTTGGTTTATAATGCCCCGATGGAGAAATCGTATTTCAAAATATTTATACACTTAAATTGTTTTATGTTTAGATTTAAAGAAACTAAATTCCAAACTGCGTGATTCTAAGACGGTAGTGGATCTTTCTACAATGGTTTATACTTTTTTTAATAAACGCATCCCTTCTACCCCTCCTGCTTATTTAATAAATAAGTCAAATCATTTTTAATTAATTCAATGCAATTTTTAGGTGGAAATTCAGACACATCCGGAAGAAAATGTTCTCCTGGTACATCGTTTAAATCAGAGGACGGGTGTAATGACTGCTTTTGCACCCCAAATGGTGTAGCTGTTTGCACTGAAAAAGATTGCCTTCCCGTTCAGCCGGGAAGATGTGTCCCTGGTTCATCGTTCAAATCAGAGGATGGATGTAACGACTGTACCTGCACTAGCAATGGTACACCTAGGTGCACTAAGCGAGCTTGCAATCCTGACCCGTCACGATGTGAGCCTGGTACATCGTTTAAATCACCTGATGGTTGTAATGATTGTTTCTGTGGATCTAATGGTGTTGCAAGATGTACTTTGAGAGCATGTGTAAAACCAATTAAAGGATGATAACAATACTCATATTGATATTCTTTACTACAGATTTCATATTCTCATTGTAAATCATTTTCTTTATACAATATTGTTTTCAAATTTCATAATCTCAAGCTTCTCAAAAATTAATGTATACATCCCATACCAATTTTTTTTAAATAGTAACATACTGATAACTTTTGACGTTATTGATCAAATTTTGAAACTTAAATATCGACAATATTTTGTAATATGGTCAGAAGGGTTCTTCATTACTAAAGGTGCATTTTACATTATTTGCATTTGTATTATCAAACATACCAGACTGATTTTGACAACACTTCAAATTGGGACAGTGGTTTAACACTAAATAATTGTAGATATTTTGTCAAATATAGTATTGTTTATTGTAGTGTGTCGGTAACTCACAAATAGTAGGTATTAAAGAAATTAATGTTTTGTGAGATAAAGCTAGGAAATAATTTTTCCTTTCAGCCTTATAAAATGTGTGTGGTAAGAAGCATGTAAAGGACTTTGATACCTGCAAAGTACAACCTTGTTACGTAAATATTTTGAAAGTGTAAAACGTAACGTGCATATTGTAAAATTATTCTTACAGTTGTATGAGAAAAGAATCCTTCCTCTTATTTTCTTTCTACCGAAAAATAAAAAAAAAATTTGCATTTTACTATAATTTGTTTCTAAAAATATTGTTTATAATAGTCACCTTTCCCGTCACCTTTTTGAACGCAATTACACCAGGAATTCGTACGAAATCCAAATCGTGACTATGTCACTGAGTGATAATGCTCGTTAGCTTAGTAGTCAGAGCAATTGGGCTTAAATCAGAAAGCGCGGGTTCTAATCTCGGTCGGGGTGATCAATTCTTTGAACAAATTTAATTATAAAAATATTGTTAATTTTCAGGCGCATACCAATGCTATTGTGGTACTTGGATGACACGAAGAAAGAGAGGGAGGTCAGCAGTGAAGGAAAATTACACATATTTAAGAACTAAAGCTACATCAATTTAGCGACTTATCTCAATCTTTTCAAATTTCCTGAGAAAAGATTTTCGGTTATTTGAGGAGTGGCAAGGATATTATATTTATGTACTTGCGGACCTTTTCGAGGTGGGCACTTTCTTTTTATGAGGAAGTAGTTAAACATTCACTACTTTGAGAATAATGTACAACTGTTCTCTACATCGATGGATATTAAAACTAAACTACAATTTCAACGCGATTGTGAGGAGTTCTGCCGGTAAGAGAACTCCCGAGTTTTCTGGAAGCGTTAACGCAGGGTGGGGACTTCGAATTTTTCACTTCCGATTGCGCTGAAAGACGAAACCACCTCTTGGAGTTAAAGAAGGTCTAATAATGAAAAGTGTAAAAGATGAAACGATAGCAACTGCGCTGGAGCAGCAAAAAAATCATTGTATAATTCTGCGGTTTGATGGCTGCAATACGTTGATAATGATACTCATTACAATACAGATTTGATTATGATTCAGGTTTTTGACCAGTCACAGAGAAGTTTGAAAAACAAGTATTGGCACTTAATGAATCATTGAAAATCGTTCTAGTCAGAGCCGTTTTAACAGCTTTGGTGGACCTACGTTAATTTGGGGACCCCTGCTCTTACTTTCACCGATATCCCCTCTCCCCCCAATTTAAAGACACGTTTTGTTAAAAAACTGAGAAGGTAAGATACTGTAATTTTTCATATCATTCCAGCATTATCATATCACTAATTTCTCCCAAGTATTACAAGAAAATAATACACAAATTCCATTAAAAGCGAGCATACATTAAATTCGAGAGATTTGATACAACACAGTGAAAATTAACTAGCTACGAGACTCATGGTGCGAGGCTCTCTGTAATGTGAAACTTATAAAATTATTTACTCGCAGAGTGTGGCGTGCGCCTCTTTCGCGCTTGACCGAAATATTCATTAATTTTGTCAATCCTTTGTTTACCTCGGAACCCTCGAAACCGGTCCAAGATGGTTCTTTTTACATAATGCAGGGATACGCGATTATTAAATAATAATCGAATAATAATTAATCGATATATTTTTATTAGATTCGTGATTGGATTAATATGCATCAATTAATCGTTCCGAATTAATCGATTAATATTATATAATAGATTAATGTTTCACATCCTTTAAATAATGCATAGAATCGTTAATTTTTAATTTGTAAAGTAATTCATCGTTTAGTAACTTATTTTAAGAAAATCTATCACGTTAATGTGAATTATTCTCAATTTTCTATCTTGTTGAATTTTATTGATTAAACTGTATTGTTTAAGTCAAATTCAAACTAAGTTTAAGTAAAATTAAACTTTATTGTTTAAGTCCAAAAAATCATGTTTTTCAACTAAAATAACGTTAACGTTAAAATTAAATCGTTATCGTATCGTTTTTGTACAAATAAAATGCATCTACTTAATCGAACAAATTTCAATTCTTTTATTTTCTTCTAATAAACGACAAAATAAATAAAGTTACCTAATACAAAAACATTTCGATGTAATATAAATCTCAATAATAACAGATCTTCATATGAATAATATCGAATGGAAACATAAACTACATGAATTAATTTGTAGAGACGAGGAATTCAGTTGTTAAAGTTCAAAAGGAGATGTGTATGTACTTTCATATTTTGCTAGTTTTGAAAATAAAATTTGAATTAAAATAATCGAGCTAAAAATCGGTAAAATTAATCGATGTGTACATTAATCAATGTAAAATCAATCGATTTTAATTGTTCAATTAATCGTATCAATTTTTGTACTAATCGTGATTAAATCCATCCCTTATATGGTGGAGAGTTCATGCCACCTCGAACGATAAAGCACTATCGATCTTCTGATCATGCGCAGTTGAAGTTTCGCAGCATTTTAGTGCATCTGCGCATGCGCGGAAGATCGATAGTGCGGGCGTGAACAAACGCCCTGAAGGCGGTTCCACACATGAGGCATTCGGCGAATCCCAAGCAATCGCTCGCCGAATCCCGAGTAGTGTGGACGGGTTGCTTGCTATTCGCCGAGAGCCGAACATTCATTAGCTGTAGCTCGCTGCTCGGTGAATGCCAAATGTGTAGAGCCTCCTTAATGGGACACAGCGAGCTCGCCATAAACATATTGCGTGAGGTCACACGTGCGCATTCCGCGCGAAGTTTGAAAATTGAATAATGTTTTTGGTCGATTTCGAAAATAAATTTTCCATCAGTTTGATGGTGGTAATAAATGTGTTGATTTGGAATTTTTTCATCCGAATTTTTGTCAAAATTCCAGGTGGGTAACAGAACCCACAATACCCACGTCTTACAGTGGCCTTGGCTCTGTGCCACGAAGGAAAATTTACACGAAGATATTCATACACCATATGAAGCAGTTGGACTTGTATAACACCAAGAAACCCGCTCAAATTTCAACTACATTGCACCTACACAATTACCACTGATGGCGTACGATTATTTGCTTAAAATGGCATTACGAAACAATGGCAAAGTATACAGAGCTCTCAACCCACATCCTGAAGTCTGCGCCAGTCATAAAATAGGCGACACTCCCGCAGACACCCCACACTCCTCCACCCGGGCGTTGTCCGCCTGAGCCCTCGAGGGGCGGTGGGTGGTGGGTGGTAGGGAGCGAACCAGCCTTTTCAGCACCCGCTGCCAGAGGGCACCACAATTACAACCCTGGTGACTGCTGCAACCTAGCGGCGCGGTCGGAACTCCTGATGTCGGCTGTCTTCCTCTTTCGAGATAGCCGACAGCACCCTCCTCGAATGTAGCGTTCGCCACGAAGGATATAGATAATATTAGTATTACCTTGGCGCACACACACTTCATAATCGAGCTCCAAATATATTGCAACCTCATGGAGCGCCCAACTAGGTGGGAAATTAATTGAATTCAATTGCCAGCGGTGGAAAACTATTCTCATATAATTTCATTTTTAATGCCAATAATAATAATAATAATAATAATAATAATAATAATAATAATAATAATAACAACAACAACAATAAAAACAACGTCTGACATAATTTTGGGCCAGTCAAAAAGACCGACAGCTGACAGCCAAACAGTAAACAGATCCGTAATCACAAGGACGAAGGAAAAAAAGAAAAAGAAAAAAAAAAAAGAAGAAAAAAAGCCGGATAGCCAACACTATGCGTGACATAACACTCATAGCCAAGGCATGCTCTAAACGAACGAACACGTCTAAAGTTCAACGAAAAATACACCATGCAGAGAGCATTGAAGTTGATATGCACGCTGTGATCCAAGATATTGGCCCAGGTAAAACTAACAAATATCTGGGCATTGAATAATGTGAGACTATCTCGGACGACACAGTAAAAGAAAGAATTCGCAGGGAGTATTACAGAAGAGTGGGACTTATCCTGCAGTCCGCTCTAAACTCCAGGAATATGAGTACAGATTCGCACTAGTGGAGTGAACTGAGCAAAAAATTCGAATTATGGATCAAAAAAACAAAAACACTGTTTAAAATGCATCATGTCACCCACAATAGAGCAGATGACCATAGACTTTATGTGAAACGTAAGAGAGGGGGAAGAGACCCCAGATAAATTGAAGCCTTCTGACACAATGCAATAGCTGGGACGGGGAAGTATGTAGTCAATCATCAAGATGACCTACTAATGAGGCAGGTGTGGCGTCGTCGGGTGCGAGTAACACACAGACACGGAGTTGATTATACAGTTTTATTTACAATTTTGATTACACAATACACATACTCCTCGGAAACGCGCTACACTCCCAGCACTGTACCTCTCTGAGGCATCCCCGCCCCAGCCTGACGCAGACCCCAGCGGCTTGGCGCCGCTCCTGGCCTTTTGTCCCGTGGCAACCGCCACACCTCGCTGCCGAAGCTCGCGATAACCCCTGGCGGGTGAAATGTGCCTTCCGCACCGCGATTCGGTTCAAACTCGAATGCCCACGGCTGGTTGCTCTCCAGCCGCCTCGCGAGGGGTCACGTGACAGACCTCACATGCCGGCGGCGTCTTCTCATCCCGAAACGTGGGCCTGTTTGCAATTTTGGAGTCCAGCTGCACCGCGGCTGGACTCACCCATCAATTCCCTCTGTGCCAGTTGACACCCACGTTCCGAGTCACGCCCACCCGGGCCCTTGAGGAGGGGCCCACCTCTGGTGGCCTTCCGCTTGCCGCCAAAGGACCGCCCCCGCCCCCTCGCTGGCCTTCCGACATGTGTTGTCCATCTGGCCCCTCGGCACGACGTCACACAGGTCATGAAATCTGACCGAAGAAGAGAAAACAGAGGCATTGTAAATGAAGCAAGAAGCATTGCGATGAAAACTGTGCAGGACACGCAGAACAGCACAAACACTGAACTACTGATACTTCTTGACATGAAATATGGGACAGAATAAATGTTGAATACATTTTGGAGAGACAAACCATCCCATGAACAATATTTAAAAAGAGTGGACAAGGTGCAGATCAATAAAGATCAATCTTTTGTATGGCTTTATTTGGGACAGAACGAAGCTAGAATCGGAAGCAGTTGTAATAGCTGCCCAAGATCAAGCGTTCAGAACACTACATTATGATAATGCGGTTCCAAAGTTTTCCCAAGATGGTAGATGCAGCATTTGCCAGGAACAAGGATAAACCTTTCATCATATCGTCTCAGTTGTCTAATTCCATCAAAGACCGAATACTTGAAAAAAAAAACACACGATAGAATGTGTAGTTTCGTACTTCCATTGGCAAATCTGAAACGCCCTCGAAGTTCCGAACCCACGCTCCAAGTGATACGATCACTCAAACTCTTATCCAGTAGAAGTTCTCCAACTGTCGTCAGCGAAGGATCGCAGCATCGCAGGATCGCAGCGAAGGATCGCGTGGCATTGAACGTGCTTTTATTTTCACCTATTTTCATGCTTGTTTTCCGTGTCCGAAACAGATAAATTTACTTTCTTAGATGGCTATGTGAAATAATACACGTAGCCTAGAGAAAGTTTTGAAATGTTGCGGAAAAGTGGTTTCGAGATTTCAACGGAGAAACACTGTTCATGGATACTTATACGGCGTTATACACGTACTAGAGATAATGTTTTGTAATGCTGCGGAAAAACGATGTCGCGATTTCCACGGAAATACACGTTATTAGGTCTTCTGATTGCGAGGTGTTTTTTGCAAAACGTCCGTCCGTTCGTCCGACCATCCGTTGTATTGAAACACCAATTGCGCCTTAACTATTCGTAGTAATCTTCTCAAAATTAATATTCTCCAATCTTACTGGACTCTTCTGAGATCTGCGAGTTTGAAACAAATTCTTTAAATTTTAGGATTGTTTACATAAAACCCCAGAGACATATTCAAAATTTCTCAAAAATGGCTCCAAGGATTTATTTAAATTTATTGTAAGAGTAGAGTGAAATTCGCTTACCAAAGATTTGGTTTTCACTGTCGACTCTAAATTTAGAGAAATTGAAAAACTTGAAATCATTGTACAACTACAGTAATGTAGATATAATTTTTTCCTTTAAAATAAATTTTTTCTCCGCAGTTATTTCTTTAATAAATACATTTTTTGAAAAGAGTAGAAGTACTTGCGCAATTTCGAGTAGATTGTTGTCAATATTAAAAGTATTAAAAATATTTCCTCAAAACCCATTTTTTTTCATTAAACATATTATACGGATATTGCTAAATGTATCGATGAAGGTGACATAAAGCTCATTTTGATCTATTTGGATTTTCCATTTTTTTCATATCTGACGTAAAAAATTAAATGAGCGTTTTTTTTATATTATTCTATTTGCGAGTACTTGCACTTTAAATGATGTGTGATGGATTTTTTATTCGAAAAGTCAAAAATTTTTCAATATTACGCGTTTTGAGAAACGTTAGAAATGATATTTTGCAAAAACGACTCTAAATTTTGCAATGAAAATACTATCCATGTTTTATTCTTCTGAAATATTCTTAGAGTAGGTAATAATTTAATTCTAATGCTCAACAACCTTATGCTCTCCTTCCTGTCTTGCGCCATCGTTTTCCAAATCTTAATTTTCATTCTCCGTAGGTCTTCCATCTTTCCATTTTGTTTTTAGACTGCCTTTCACACCTCGTAGCTCTCCGTTTCCATGCTCTTAGATTCTTAGTGATTCGGTCTGGATCCATCCTGTCTAGATGTTCGATCCATGCTATTCTCTCACATTATATTTCTCTAACATTTTTTGTTTAATTGGTTCTCCCTATTCATTATTTGTTTTCAATCTTCAGATATTATTACCTAGTCTTGTAGGGGCATAGATTTTTCTTTCAAATATACTTAATTTTTGTTGACTCTGTTACTTCAAAACCCATATTTCGCACCCATAAAGCACAGTATTTTAACAGTATTTTATAGTTTGAATTTTATATATTGTGATAGGAATTTACTGTATAAGAGAGCTTTATTTGCATGAAATGCCTTTTTTTCCAGCCACAATCCGTTCTAATAATTCTAATAATAAAATATTGAAAAATGAAGAAAATGTGACAAAATTATATTTTTGATAAAACAAAAATTCCTCAATATTAATATTATATTAACTAAACTATTATATTAACTGATAGAAACTGATATATTCTCCAAATATTTTGTTCTACAACATTTTTATTGATATTACTAAGTTCATACTGAGTACGTTGTTGTTAGATTATAATGCTACAATAACTTTGTTTGCACTATTGCCGTGAGCTTTCAATAAGTCTTATTACTTCTTCCTTAGAATAGATCCAGAATTCATTCGAAATCATATCACAGCCTCCTACTTTCTTTTTCTTTAATTCATTGACAGCATTTCTTATTTCTTCTTTGTCTATTTTCTCATGAATTTCTTAGTTTCTCTTCGGCTCACTTCAATTTCCATTACTTCCGTGCTATCCTGGCCACCAAATCTTTCCTTAAATCATTCATTCATGTCTATTTCATGTCCAATTATCCTCTTATCCTATTCTGTCTTTCCTTAATATTTTTCATGCTTCTCTCTCATATTTAACCTCTCCCAGCTCATCTATTCTTCTATTATACCAATCTCTTATTTATTCTTACAGAACTCATTACAATCCGCTTTTATCTCATCGCACTTTGTTTTATTTATTGTTTTCGGTTTCCAGTTTCTCGAGGCCTCTTTTGCGTCAAAGTTCATTACTCCATCATTTATTCCTACACTGAACGTCATCCCTAATCAGAATTTTAATTCTGATGACTACCTTCTTATCACTTTCTTTTAATTGGGCCATCATTCATGTAGCATCACCTTTCAATTATTTATATTTTACTTTTTCTTCCAGCCCACCAATTTTCTTTCTAACCAAATTTCTTTCCATATTATCATCGTATCTCCTTCCCCGTTACATTTTATCTTGCTATTCACAGTAATCTCAATGGGCATATGGTCTGATACAGAACATATGGGCCTGTACTACTTATACAGTATTTCCTTTCAGAAAACAAATGGAAATGAATCTCGTTAGTAGACTGCCATGCAATTAAATGTTTAAAGTTGGAAGAGTAAAGCCGAATCTATTTACTTCCGCGTATAAATCTATTCTGACAAGAATCCTTTCCATCGTCTGGCCTGGCGTGGATAGTGTGCCCTGCTTTGCTCTGCTTTGCCCCACTCCGCCCTGACCTGGCTTGCTCAAACCAACCATACTCCCTGCCTGTCCTCCATACTACCCGCCTTACAGTTAGGTTATGCTTCATTATTTCATTTGTTTTTCAAATGATTAATGTTTGTACAATGAACACAAAAATATAATGTACACTTGCCGACATCGGAGATTCCCAGCTCTGAAATATATCCTTTTGTGCTGAGCCTGATCGAGTAATTCATCCGGAAATAGGATGTTTACGTAACACGTTTGAAAAATAATATATGTGATTAAATGGAACTAAATATCGAACAGCCAATTAAATCTTAAATAGATTTCGAGTCATAGAGGGAGTACTTGTTGATTTCCGCGCGTTTCAACTCCCTGGGTCCTTTTACCCGCAAATCAGCGTGGGCTTGCAGGGGATTTCCCTTATCAGGTATCTCCCTGGCAGTGGGGCACCGCCCAACCGGGACTCAAGTGAAATCCCGATTAGGGATGCGATATCGTCAATAAACATCGATGTTTCGAAACATAAATGTTAAAACGCTAATGCACTATTGATCTTCTGCTCATGCGCAGTTCAAGTTTTGCACCATTTTATTGCATCTGCGCATGCGCAGAAGATCGATATTGCTGACGCCAAGGCTGCCACAAACTCCTTAATAAAAACTCACTGTTAATAAAACATCGACCCATCGACCTTCGATGTTTTTAAACTACGATGATCTTACAACTGCATCAGTAACCATTGATATTTTTGTAGGGATAAAGGAATATAAAGGTTGTTCATTACGAGTAATTGTTTATTATTAAATTATGCACGACAGTGAAACTAGAGATGCTACAACAGCACTTACTTTCTTGCAATGTCGGGAATAGCTACGTAATATTGAATATATACTTGTTTTTATCGTAATTTCTGCCATATTAAAAAAAGGCAGTTATAACTTGAATACCACAAAATCAACCAATTGAAACGAAGCGCCTTTGGTGATTATATGCGTCTATTTCCATAGTCAGAAACAGTAATCATTGCTAACTTTCACAAATGAAGCAAACGTAGAATACAGAAAATAAAGAAAGAATAATATTTCACTGAATTTCTCTTTGATTACATAAAAGTGAGCAAAAAATTTCTGAATGTCATAACCAGCGATCAAAACTTCTTAAATAGAATAAATGTATTTGTTAGTTCTACGTTAAATACATTACCTTTCTTAAATCTATTTTCTTGGAACCTTATCGATATCATACGTTCATCACGACCGGCGAAAACGTTGGGATTTTCCTCTGAGCAGTGACTGAACTCGGCTTAGTTGTTTAGCTAGCGCCATCGTCGGGTCTGACCTCCCGGTCAGTCACTGCAGAGGCGCTGATACGCTTGCTCTGACGGTGAGAAGCTCGGACTGTCGCGTGGGAGGGGGATGAAGGGGGAGAAGTGGAGGGGAAGATTAGGTTTAAAAGGGCGCGCGCGGCCGCAGCAAGCTGTCTTCTGCGATGGCTTTCCTCGCGCGCCGCTGCTCTGCTGTCGTGGTGCTGGTGGCGCTGCTGGTTGTCCTGGCGGCCGCTGCGGTCACCTCCGCGCGCAACCTCGCGGCCACAGGTACTTAGGTACTTCCAGTGATTTTGAAAAGGCTTTTGACTCTATTAATAGGGAAGCTTTATGGCAAAAATTAAATGAGCTAGGCGTCTCACGTAAAGTTTTAAAAGTGTTGC